TAAAGTGTCACATTTGTGCTCTTCAGAAAAAGTTTGTTCAAAACAAGGCAGCTGTATGATGCAGTAAAATTACAACGCCCCTTATCACCAGCTCACTGCACCAAGAACAAAGTTCTGCCTACTAGTGTTGGGCTATATGTTCCAGTCAAACATAGGTTCGATGTAAACATATCTGCCGCAACTCACAATGCACTGTGTCCTGACAGAGCATTGTGATTGGCCAAAGCAATGCACCTGACCACAGGTCAGGTGTAATGTTTTGGCCAATCACAGTGCATGATGATGTCACAAGGGGGTGTATTTAGTATTTAGGAACTGTCATCCCAGCGTAGCTGTCAGATGGTTCGGAGCCAGTGTCGAGGGTGGAAGCTGTTTTTCTCTTTTCAGGTTGGCAGTGGTGGCGGGCATCGTGATTGATGTTGGATCTACTTTGGGGGACATTTTTTTTATTTTTGATAAAGAACTTGTCAAAGACTGTCTTCTGTAATTTTTTACACACTTTTTTTTGGAGAATAAGTAGTGGAACCATGGATGGGGGGGACCCCACACGTTTTTTGGGTTTTTTTTTTTTATTTTTTTAATTGCCAAGCAATTCTTTTTACATTCAACTGTCAGCAGGGAACCCCACTGCCAGCTGAAACATTAACCACTTGCCTACCGGGCACTTATACCCCCTTCTTTACCAGGCCAATTTTCAGCTTTCAGCGCTGTCACACTTTGATTGACATTTGCGCGGTCATGCAAGATTGTACCCATATGAAATTTTTATCATTTTTTCCTCCCAAATAGAGCTTTCTTTTGGTGGTATTTAATTGTTGCTGGGCACTTTACCTTTTGCGCTATAAATAAACAAATTGCAAAAAATTGGAAAAAAAAAGCTTCTTTGTTTCTACTATAAAATTTTGCAAACAGGTAATTTTTCTCCTTCACGGATGTGCGTTGATGAGGCAGCACTGATGGGCACTGATAGGCAACACTGAAGGGCACTGATAGGCAGCACTAATGAGGTGGCACGGATAGGTGGCACTGATAGGCAGCACTAATGAGGTGTCACGGATAGGCGGCACTGATGATAGGTACTGATAGACAGCACTGATAGGTGGCACTGACTGGCATCACTGCTGGGGACTGACTGGCGGCACTGCTAGACATTGACTGGTGCAACTGCTGGGCACTGACTGGCACAACCGCTGGGCACTGACTGGCAGCACTGCTGGGCTGCACTGATGGGTGGCACTGGTGGGCAGCACTGGTGGGCACAGGTGGGTGGTACTGCTGGGCACAGGTAGGTGGCACTTCTGGGCACAGGTGTGTGGCAGTGCTGGGTGGCACTGGTGGACACTGCTGGGCACAGGTGGGTGCACTGCTGGGCACAGGTGGGCGGAACTGGTGGGTGGCACTGCTGGGCACCGATCATCAGGGCACTGATCTGCTGCATACAGAAGGTTTTTTACCTTCATGCATAAAATGCATGAAGGTAAATAACCTTCAGCTTTTACAACCACTTTAAGAGAACAATGTATTACATATTTTTTTTAAGGACAAGCAAGGCTTTCTTTTCATGAATATTGTCTTGCAACTATGATATTTTTTCACAATCCTTAGACCAAATGTATCAAAACTAAAAAGCAGTGTTAGTTATTTATTTATTTATTTATTTATCGAGTTTATATAGCGCCAAAGGGTTTGCTCAGCGCTGTACAATAGAGGGGGGACAATACATGAAACAGAACAGTATCATCAAACAGCACACGAGGGGTTAGAGGGCCCTACTCTTTCGAGCGTACAATCTAGGAGGGAGGGGGGGTAGAGGCACAGGAGGAAACGGCTGTGGGGGATGGAGTGGTAGGAGGAGGGAAGGGCAGCGGCTGTTAGGTGAGGGTGGGGTAGGCTTCCCTGAAGAGGTGGGTTTTCAGGGAGCGCCTGAAGGTGAGGAGGGAAGGTGACAGTCTGATGGATTGGGGTAGTGAGTTCCAGAGGATGGGGGAGGACCTGGAGAAGTCTTGCAGTCGTGCGTGGGGAGGAGGAGACCAGGGAGCAAGATAGAAGGAGGTCCTGTGAAGAGCGAAGGGTACGGGTAGGGTGGTACCTGGGAATCAGGTCGGTGAGGTAGTTAGGGGCAGTGTTGTGAATGGCCTTATAGGTCAGGGTGAGCAATTTAAATTTAATGCGTTGGGCAATGGGGAGCCAGTGGAGGGAGAGGCAGAGGGGGGGTGGCAGAGGTGGAGCGGCTGGTGAGGTGGATGAGTCTGGCCGCTGAGTTCAGGATGGTCTGAAGCGGGGAGAGCCTGCACTGGGGTAGGCCGGTGAGGAGGGAGTTGCAGTAGTCCAGGCGTGAGATAATCAGGGAGTGTACTAGTAGTTTAGTGGTGTCTGGGGTAAGGTAGGAGCGTATCTTGGCGATATTGCGGAGGTGGAGTCTGCATGTGTTTGTGAGAGATTTGATATGAGGTTGAAAGGAAAGGTTTGAGTCCATTTTTAAATAGTGTTACTGCACATTAAAAAAATGTGTGTTTTATATTGTAATTTGTCCTGTTTAAAATGACACTAAAATTATGATTCTGGTACAAAGCATTGAAAAGGTTTTTACAAATGAAATCTATTTTTTAAAATTTTGCGCTTTTTTTAAAATGTGAAATGTGTAAATATATGTTAAAGATGAAAAAATATGAACGAACAAAGCAAACAAAAACACACAAAAAAAGTTTTATTTATGAATAGTTTATAAAATAGAAATTAACAAAAAAAATCAGTAGGAAAATAATAATTAAATGGAGGAGAATAAGAAGTTAATTAGGACTGATTAGAGTAAATTAAAGGTCAATAAGGGATTTAAACAAAGGAACATTTAATATAAAAACTTTTTATTACTTGACAGATTGCTTTTAACTGAGTTCATCCACAGATGAAGTTCATACCTTTGATCTGTAGATGAATAAACAGGAAGATACAACATTAAACAATGTTTCTTTTTATCTTTCTGTTTTAGCAGCTGAGCAATGTTGTTGCTAAACATTGCCAGGCTGTTTTTATTTACAGCTCCATTTGCTGAACTTGTTTACAGGGGAACCCTGCTGACAGCTGAATGAGTCATAGGTCGTTAAGGATGCGGCGGCCCAGCTCCTTAAAAACTGGTAATTGCCAGCTTTATTTATTTTCGTTTTTCCCAGCTTTTTTTTTTAAATTCCCATTCCAGCTGTCAGTGGGAGAATCCTGTTGACAGCTGAAAGAATCAAGCCTAAAGGTATTGGTTTCAGGTATCAGAGCATTTGCACCAATACCGATAATTGTGCCGTGTACTGTTACTTGTGCAAATGCTTAGTATCGGCACCAATATTGACGCAACCCTAGTTATTTACCATGTATTGTACGTTGAGGAGGATGTAGTGCAACTGTGGCTGGTCCCTGCTTACGAAGGCAGCTGCAGAAAACTGGTCGTAGCGAGGAATAAGTAAGTATCTCTCCTTATTCCTCTACCCCTAGGCATAATGAGCATTAAACCCTTGCAGTGCAGGGAGGCCACTGCAAAGATGGATTATTATTATTACTACAGGTACTTAAATAGCGTTGTCATTTTATGCAGCACTTTACATATTTATCATACATTCCTATCAGTCCTTGCCCTCAAGGAGCTTACAATCTAAGTTTTTTTTAATACTCCTGGAGTTTCACCTGCACACAAATGTGATGGCCTGGTATGGTTAGAGATGAAATTTCCACATCACAGGGATAGCACTTCTGGCCTTGCTGCCCTCTAAGACTGGGGGTGTCCTGATGCTTTTCTTAGGTGATAATTTCTTCATCAGAGCCAAAGCATCCAAGTATTTTCGGCTTTATATATTTGAACTTGGATCTAGGATCTGAAAAAACCTCAGCTCATCCCTATGGGTTTGTTAATGGGCTCCCATCTAAATAGACCATAATGGTTCTTTCACAGTGCCCTGCTGCAGTGTACCTGCGGTGTGATGTACCTGTGCTTTCCGGTAGACTTCTATTAAATCATGCTTTTTTGGTGCATTTTCTTAAAGCATTAGAAAAGTCCTGCATGCTGCATCTTTGCTTCAGAAAGTGCACCAAAAAAAGTATGATCTAATAGAAGTCTACAGGAAAGAAAGTGCAATGTGCTGCAGCCAACCCACAGTGGGACAGTGTGAAGGAGGCCTTATATGTGTATATATAATTTGGCTATGCACACATGTAATTACAGGGGTTGGGCAAAATAAATGTAAACACTACATGATTTGCAGGTAGGAAAGTGACAACATGTTCTGTGTTGAAAACAAAAGTGATGTAACACTCTTTTGCTTCCACAGTGTGATGAGACACCTAGCTAATGGGTGGGAAGCCTCACTTTCGTCATTCACTGCATACGCTGCTAGTAATACAGAGTCATGTCAGAGCTTACTGAGCTTCAAAAAGCTTTTTTTTTTCTGTATTTTTTTTTGTCAGGGTAGGTTGTCGGATCTTTCCTCCACCCTTCAGATTGGCTATCCAGAATGTACAGGATTTAAGCACAGAAAAATGGTGGAGGGGGAATTATGGTGTGAGATTATTTTTCAGGGGTTGGGCTTGGCCCCTTAGTCCCAGTGAAGGGAACTCTTAAGGCGTCAGCATACCAAGACATTTTGGACAATTTCATGCTCCCAACTTTGTGGGAACAGTTTGGGGATGGCCCCTTCCTGTCCCAACATGACTGTGTAGCAGTGTACAAAGCAAGGTCCATAAAGACATGGATGAGTGAGTTTGGGGGTGGGGGAACTTGACTGGCCTGCACAGAGTCCTGACCTCAACTTGATAGAACACCTTTGTGATGAATTGGAGAGGAGACTGTGGCCAGGCCTTCTCATTCGACATCAGTGCCTGACCTCACAAATGCGTTCCTGGAAGAATGGTCAAACATTCCCATAGACACACTCCTAAACCTTGTGGACAGCCTTCCCAGAAGAGTTGAAGCTGTTACAGCTGCAAAGGGTGGGCCAACTCAATATTGAACCCTATGGACCATGGGTGGACTGACCGTTTGGAAACTCGGGCACTGCCCAAGGGCCCGGGGTCAGTAGTGGGCCCCATGAGATGCCCCTGGTACCTTTGTCATAGGTTTTTTTGAGTTTTTTGGACAAGGGGGACTACAGGGGCCCCATGAGTTGTCAGTCCGCCCCTGCTACGGACTAAGACTGGGATGCCAGCTGATCACTGCGGACCCAGCTAAACATGTGATGAGGTAAAAGGCCAATCACAGCGGCCATTACCATGTGATCAGCTGTGTCCAATGACACAGCAGATCATGGAGTAAATACAGTTGGCGGTTATTGGCAGCGCTTTCCTCATGCTGTCACAGAGGAGATCGGCACTGATGATCAGTGCACTGCAGTACCACCCAGCAATGCCACCCACCAGTGCCTCCAGTCATGGCTGCCAGTCAGCACCACCCATCAGTGCCACCTATCAGTGCCCATCAGTGCTGCCTATCAGTGCAGCATCATCAGTGCCTCCTCATCAATGCCCACAAGTGCTGCCTCATCAGTGCTGCCTATCCGTGACTATCAGTGCAGCCTTATCAACGTACATCAGTGAAGGAGAAAAATTACCTGTTTGGAAAATGTTATAACAGAGACAAAAAAAAAACTTTTTTTTTTTTTCACATTTTTTGTTCTTTTTTGTTTATAGTGCAAAAAATAAAGTCCCCAGTTCTATTTTTGTGAAAAAATGATAAAAATTTTACATTGGTACAATGTTGCATGCCGTGCAATTGTCATTCAAAGTGCGACAGCGCTGAAAGCTGAAAATTGTCCTGAGTAGGAAGGGGGTAAAAGTTCCTGGTAGGCAAGTGGTTAAACCCAGGGGCACATGTACCACAAGGCAAACAAGGCACTTGCATAGGGCGGCATTTTTCAGGGGGGCAGCACCTCCCCCCCCAGAAGAAGGGATTAAAGAAGGGACACGCATGCCATAGGAACCAGGTGGGATCCGAGAGAGGCTGCAGGCTGCTTGATGGTGCTTGATGGTGATGTAGAGCCTGACTCTTGTTCCTGGAGCTGTGCAGATGAGTGTCTTTCCATCGCCAGCGGGGAAGGTGGGGGGAATGGAAGGCTCTCCCGGGGGGGGGGGGGGGGGGGGGGGGGGGGGGGCAGGGGTGTTGTTGGTCAATGTCAGGCTCTCTCCACGGGAGTGGGAAGGGGGGTGGTGTTGTTCAGTGTCCATGGGGGCAGATGTCTTTTGTGTTGCCTAGGGTAGCACAAAACCTAAATACACCACTGGGTTAAACCCAAACACATATTAATTCCACAGGTTCTGGGCTGATAAAGGAGGTAATTTAACTCACCCAGTGCCTTATCTGTATTACATTAGCCCCGGAACCTGTGTAATTAATGTGTGTTTGGGTTTAAAGGGATGAGGCGGCAACCCTACTGTAAAGGCCGGATGATCTTGCTACTACACCGGCGTCCCAATACTTTTGGCAATAGAGTGTATAGTCACACAATATCAGGTAACATTCAATGCTCATTTTACTATTAAAGATATGTTTGAAAATGACAATAGAAATAGAAGTAAAGGATGTCCAGAATGAATGTCCTATTCCAAGCACAGGGCTGCGAATGTCCTATTCCAAGCACAGGGCTGCGAATGTCCTATTCCAAGCACAGGGCTACGAATGTCCTATTCCAAGCACAGGGCTGCGAATGTCCTATTCCAAGCACAGGGCTACGAATGTCCTATTCCAAGCACAGGGCTGCGAATGTCCTATTCCAAGCACAGGGCTGCGAATGTCCTATTCCAAGCACAGGGCTGCGAATGTCCTATTCCAAGCACAGGGCTACGAATGTCCTATTCCAAGCACAGGGCTGCGAATGTCCTATTCAGGGGCGGACTGACCATTTGGAAACTCGGGCACCGCCCGAGGTCAGTAGGGGGCCCCATGAGATGCCCCTGGTACCTTTTTCATAGGCTTTTTTGAGTGTGGGCAAGGACACAGGGGCCCCATGATCCCTTATTGCCCGGGGGCCCATGAGTTGTCAGTCCGCCCCTGGTCCTTTTCCAAGCACAGGGCTGCGAATGTCCTATTCAGGGCGGACTGACCATTTGGAAACTCGGGCACCGCCCGAGGTCAGTAGGGGGCCCCATGAGATGCCCCTGGTACCTTTTTCATAGGCTTTTTTGAGTGTCCAAGGACACAGGGGCCCCATGATCCCTTATTGCCCGGGGGCCCCATGAGTTGTCCAGTCCGCCCCTGGTCCTTTTCCAAGCACAGGGCTGCGAATGTCCTATTCAGGGGCGGACTGACCATTTGGAAACTCAGGCACTGCACGGGGTCAGTAGGGGGCCCCATGAGATGCCCCTGGTACCTTTTTCATAGGCTTTTTTTGAGTGTGGGCAAGGACACAGGGGCCCCATGATCCCTTATTGCCCGGGGGCCCCATGAGTTGTCAGTCCGCCCCTGGTCCTATTCAAAGCACAGGGCTGCGAATGTCCTATGCCAAGCACAGGGCTGTGTCTGGCAATGTGATAACACACACCTTATCCAGAGTCAGTCTATAGGAGATGAGAGGACCCCCCACACACACAGCACAAAGCCGGCATCCCCCGGGATCCACGTGTGCCAATCCTCCACCTCACCAACACCGCTAGCTGGCTCTGGAAGCTGACAGCTGCCGCGCTGTGATTGGTGGCAGATCGGAGGATAGCGGCTCCTCTCAGCCAATGGCAGTCAACGATGTGACGTGACGCGGCGAGGGTCTTGCTTAGCAGTGCGGGGTTCCCGGAAGCGGCTGGATGCTGTGTATATCCTGTGTGGAGTGCCGGGATCAGAGCGCTGTGCCGGGGAGGGAGGCAGGCTGGGTGTAGTGTGTCGGGTGTGTTCTGTGCGGACGTAGTTCATGAGAAGTGTGTAGCGGCTGGCTGCAATGACTGCCCTGCACAGCGCTCCCCTCCTCTTCTTCCTCTCCTGTGTCCTCTTCTCCATCATTGCCCAGGCAGCAGCCAAGGGAGTGACAGCAAGCCTGGCTGCCAAGTGGCCAGAGAGCCCTCTATTGCTGGAGGCCAGGTGTGGTATGCTCTGTGCCAGTGTCATTGGGTGCTGGGTACCATTCTCTCCATGGCTGCTATAGGTCCCCTCCAGTGTCCCTGGATCAGGGGTACAGACATGGGGTGATTGTGCAGAATATGGGGTGTATTGGTAGAATTCATAATTCGATCTGTTCCCCTTTGCAGGTGACTCCTGTGATGGTGGCGGATAATACAGAACAATACTTCCATGGGCAGGGTGTGTGTATGGATTGTGTATTAGCCATTGGTTCTCTTAAAGTCATATTAAACCCTCATGTTTTTTAAAGCGCTTTGAGCCACTGATTTCTGCAAATTCTTTATCTATTAACCCTTGGCTGTGCTCCAGTTTAAGTTGGTGTCATGACTTCCAGGTTTTCTGTTTTAGGGTGGCTCCTTTCCCCTGCAGCATCCTATGGAGCTGCCCCTGAATGCAGAAACTAGTGTCTCTGTGCATCAATAGAAACACACAACCCATAGCCTAGGATGGCAAGATACTCCTGCTGCTCTCTTCTCCAAGGCAACAGACTGCCTCCAGACTGCACTGTCCACTGTTAACTCTTCTATGAAGACTGGAAGTTCAGGGAAGCAGCACTAAGAAAGCAGGAGCCGACAGCATTGAAAGTTGTAAAACGCGTGTCCCAGTCTAAGAACAAATAGTTTTCTTGGGAAATGTTTTTTGTTGTGCTCGATGTATTCAACTAAAAATGCTGAGGGTTCACTATTACTTTAAAGTGTTTCTAATCTTAGAAAATGAAAATATAACATTGCAGCATACCAGTTCTTAAATGTGATGGCTACCTTAGTTTCTTTTTCAGGCTTGCTTCCTTTTTTTTTAACCAGGTGATCCTGTTAGTAGTACATATCCTGTCCTAGGCTGACAATGCTGTACAGCAGGAGTGCTTAACCCGTGGCCCATGGAGCCTTCTGATGTGGGCCTCTACCTCAAAGCAGGGAAGTGTATGCCGGGGTCAGCAACCTGTTGATTGAGATCTGGGCTTGCAGATCCTGTATCCCAGAGAGCATAGAGCCGGCAGCTGAGGAAGCAAGTAGCTGCAGAGGGAGCAGGAGCTTCATAAGCCGATGCTTCCTCTGTAGCGCTGGCTCTTGTCCTAGGTGGAGTGATACCAAGTGCACGTCACCTGGGATCTTTCTAGCAGCCTGGAGAGTGATGCTAGTAGAAGCTGGAAGAGGAAAAGGTCAGTGTAATAGGCAACACATACACCGCACTTTTGCAATGGACATATTAGCACCTATAAAAGGGTTAACAACTAGTAGGCTGCTTTTACACAGATCCATGGGTGCAGCAAAGTGCACATTCGGCTTTCCTGCGGGTTAGCTTCATTGAGCCGTAGGCTTCTACTATACCCTGCGGGTTTGATACGTTTTCTGAAAGTGCACCAAAGCTCATGAATGCAGGACGTGCACCACATCCACAAGATATAATAGAAGTCTATGGCAAAGTGCTGCTAACCCGCAGGTGCACTGCACCTGCATTGCTTGTTAACCATAGCGCATCAGTGTGAAAGCAGCCTTAAAGGGGGCTCAGGACCGTAAGGGCTTACTTACATTTGTAGTTTGGGGGGCAGTAAAACCCCATAGTTGAGACGTCTTTTTATCACATTCCCTCAACCACTGGTGTAATGTCAGAGGTTGGTTGAAATGGCAACCCTGCCCCATTCTCCAGGGGGCCCTTATGGCCTTCCTGTAACATTCTATTTTACGCTTGGACAGGATGGGTGGTGGGTGCAGCTTATACAGGAACCAGTCCTCTCCATTTTCCTCCTGCAACCACTAAAAGCCAGCTTCTCCTCCTCCCATAAGCAGTTGGCAGCTCCAGGACAAAAATGTACAGTATGCTATTAAAAAAAAAAAATTCAGAACCATTTTTATTGTGGCCTGTGACTGGTTACCAAATCACTTAAATAGCCCTCGCTCTTCAAGAGGTTGAGCACCCCTGCTGTATGGTATCTGTGGAGAAGTGTTGTCACCCTAGGCTGCTCTCTTGTTTTGGAGTAGAAACACCTCTCCCTCTCATCATGTCCATTACCTGGGAAGGTAAGGTCATTTTTAAGTTTACAGAAGAAAGACAACAGTGTTTGTGATTTCAGTTTCAGTGCCGGGGGGGGGGGGGGGGGGGGGGGGGGGGGTGACAAGAACACTGCATTTCTTGAAGGGTCAACATGTATGTTCTGTAATTGCTGAAAATGTTCTTAGCATGAAAAACAAAACTAATGCAGCCTCCATATCTAAGGACAGGTAAGCTGTAATTTTTAGGCTTTAATATCCTTTAATGCATACTACCCTTGTGCTAAAAAGCTCTGTAGTACACTGCGATGAAGGGGTGGTGCAGTGTGCATTTACTACATCATATTTATTTTCTTCTTTTTTTTTTAACCTGTTCCTGCCTTCTGGCCCTCTAAGTGGATCTAAATGCCAGAAGGCGGAGGTGGGCATTCCAATCATGTGACTGTTGTGATTGGCTGTCACATGACTGGAAAGCTCCCAAGTATGCATTGGGAGATTCCCGGTAACCATTTGTTACTGTACTGAGAGCATGCTCTAGGCACAGTAAAGCCCACAGTAAAGCACTTGGCATTAAAGCCCACCTGCCTGGAGGCCTCATATATGCACCATGTGAGTGGGAACTGGTAACTTAAAGGTTAAGTTCACCTGTTAACAAAAATTAATAAATGCACATTTTTTTTGCAGGTAAGAAACATGCATTTACTTTTTTTTTGTTTTAGGAGCCTGGAAAGCCATGCAGCAGCAATCAACAGATCACTGGTGCCATGTAGGACTCCTGCAGACTGTCAGTGTAATCTGTCTGCCCATACGTAGTACGAGCAGGCAGTTTTACACAGAATCAATGAGCTACCACAGCGATCTACAGTGCCGTGGTAGTTCATTGAGAACTTTGAGCCGCAAAGGCTGTTGGGACTTGTAGTCTTCCCATTCACAGAACACTGCGCATGGGTGATGTGGGCAGAGGCCTGCATGGTCTCTGGTTTTTAAAATTGTGACAGCTAATGTGGAGAGAAGGTCCCCTGCTAATGGGGGATTGGGGGGGAATTGCTTTCTGCAGTGACTGGTGTTCATATGATGCAGAAAAACTCCAACCACCATGCATAGTGCAAAGGAACCCTTACTAAGAGCAGTACAATGGCTACCATCACTGATTACTTTCTGGGAAAAAAAAAAAACAAAAGACTTGTAAGGCCTCTTTAATGCTGCCGATTACCTGCAGCCACCGGATTTCAGTGGAAAACATCAGCAGATTCTTGAGCCTGGAATGACCGGGACATGCCAACTGCAGCTCCTGCTGCCAGCCCTCCATTAGTTTAAATAGACTGAGTGGCCGCTGCTAATCACATACCCCAGTCAATCCAGCTGCTGAAATCTGGTGGCCGCAGGTAACCAGCTTTGGTTTATGGCCTAAAGTTGAAAGTGATCCAGGCAGCTGCCCTTTTTATGATTTATTGCTAGCTAGTCGCAGAGAGGCAGATGAGAATATTCCTCACTTTTAGATGTTTGTAAATGTCTGCTATTCTTGTGAATCTGATACTCTGTTTGCTGTATCACGATGGAATCAGTATTATCGATCCTGAAAAATAACAGGCAGTTTTAGAACATCAGAGACCATTCTGTGAATCCAAATCCATTTGCAGTGTCTGTTACTTGTCAAGTCACCATAGAACAGAAACAATACACAACGATAGTTGTTCTCTGTATTAATTTGTTTCTGAAAGCCACGTCAGCCCTTAGTATTTACTAATTCATCATATAACTCTTCTCTTTTTATCCCATCAACCCAATCTGACAGGCAGTGTTGAAATGCCAGAATAATCTTTGCTTAGCTCCTTGCAGGTTCTTTTTGTTTAGTGAATGCTTCATTTATGTTTTAAGCATTATGTCAAATGTTAATGAAACCTTGTTTCTTAACCTTATGAGGTGTTATGTTTCATCATTTCTGAAAATTGTTTTCCTTTTTTTCCTTTTCTAGCGAATTTATTGCAGAGGAAGGAAATGACAAATTTTGGCAGTTTTTGGGAACCGTGCAAGAGATGACTATTTATAAAAACAAAGGTAACTGAAATAATCATCAGCTTATCAGGAGTAAACATTTGTTTTCATTGGAATGCAGGTCGCACTTTATCCCTCTTCCCCAAATACCATACTTAATAAAATTATGCTCAAATGACTACACATGCATTTCTTTTTTGGACATAAAATTTGGCCGCTGCACTTTTATTGGTAATTACACATAACATACTTAAACTTGAAATATTTATTCAAACATCTTAAACTTTATTATCAACCATAAATAAACTTGCTCAGTCTTAAGGACTCGAGCTATACTTAAATAATTATATCAATAAATCCCCCTTTTCTATAGAAAAGGTGACACAAACCACATAAATAGTGCTTTGCGACAAGGGAGGGAGGGTGGGAAGCCCGTTGGCCGACGCTGACCAACTGCAAAATCATCTGTCATGGATGCCTTTATATAATAAGCCCCACTATTACAGAATGTTCCAAAGGGTCACGTGATTTTCCAGCCTCTTCCAATGGTCACATGCCTACTCTTTGTCCCGCTTTTTTCCTATATGTATTTCTTAAAGGGGCCTTAACCTAATTCATATCTATTACTGAGAATATTCTTTTCTTTTTAAACTCTAAATTTGGAGGGATGGCGACTGTATGCCCATGCTGTCGAGCTCCTATATTAGAGCCCTCATTTTTCAATCTTGATGACATCTGCACTTTTACCTACTTGTGCTAATGCCTGATTTGTGGTGGTCTAAAAGAGCCTTTGATAGATGACCAGCTATTTATAACCAATGTTATTAGATAATGCTGGCACAACTTCCCTGATCTTCTCTGATCTATCCAGATACAACTTTATTACAGATCATCTTAGCAGAGTTTGCCACTGAGTCTGCTTAACCACCTGCCCTTCAGAGGATTTACCCCTCCTCCTGACCAGGCCATTTTTTGCTTTATGGCACTGTTATTTTAACTGACAATTGCGTGGCCATGCATTGCTGCACCCACATTAAATGTACGTTAAATGTACGTACGTTAAATGTACGTTTTTTTCCCCAAGAATAGAGCTTTCATTTGGTGGTATTTGATTGCCTGTGTGTGTTTATAGCGCAAAAAAAAAAAAGACAATTTTGAGAGACAATATTTTCAACTTTTTGCTATTAAACGTGTCCAGTAAAAAAAAAAAAAAAAAATTTTTCATTATAAATGTATTCTGCTACATGTTTGCTAACAAAAAACCCAATACGTGTAAATTAATTGGTTTACGTGAAAGTTATAGCGTTTACAAATGGCAATATATTTACTGGGATATTAAAAAAAAAAAAAAAGTTTTCATTTTTATTAGTAATGGCGGCGATCAGCGACATATAGCGGGACTGCTGCGGGCATTCTGACACTAGGGGAAACTGACTTGGTGTCACTGACTTCCCCAGTGACAGCAATACAGTGATCAGTGCTAATAAAAAGCACTGACACTGTACCGTTGGCACTGGGCAGCAAGGGGTTAACATTTGGGGCAATCAAAGAGTTAACTGTGTGCTTTGTTTGTGCGCTTCACTGTAAGCACACTGCTTTGCATGGCTTAGCAGTGTGCAGGAGCTGACGGGAGAGAACTGTATTGTTTACTTACAGTTCTCTCCTGCCTTTTGGTAATAGTATTTTTTTTGTCATAATTTTTTGGAAAATGAAAAAATAAAAAAAATTATTTTCACATATGACTGGCATGGCGGTGATCAGGGACACTGACTGGTGACAGTGTGAAAAAAAAAAAAAAAAAAAAAAAAAAAAAAAAATATTTTATATTTTTTTTTTTATAATATTTATATTTTTTTATTTTTTATTTTATATTTTATATTTTTATTATTTTTTTCTTTTTTTTTTAAATTTGTTTTTCATATTTCACTATGTCCAAAGTAGTACAATGTTACCATAGTAACATTGTACTACTTTGGGGAAGTGATCAGTATTTTGTTTTTTTTTTTTTTTTTTTTTTTTTTTTTTTTTTTTTTTTTTTACACAATTTGCTTATAGCAAAGAATTACTTTGCTATAAGCAAGCATTTACCTGAATGACATCGATTCATTCAGGGTTTTTTTTTTTTTTTGTGCTTAGCTGTGATTTGGCCACTGCTAATCACATGACATGTGTGATTAGCTGTGACCATTCACAGCTAGACACTAGTATACAATGGATGGCATGAATGAAGCCATCCATTGTATACAGCTGTCATGTGACCTGCTGTGATTGATCACAGCAGGTCACATGGTACCGGCAACGGGGGGGCCCGTACTCAGATCTGCCATCAGCCGTATCCGAGGTACACGGCCGGAGACAGATCGCGACGCTGCGCGGCTCTGCAAGCGCGCGAACTGCGCATGTGCGGGAGGATGCCATATGGCGGCCTCCTGGAAAGGTAATGCATTTTTGCGGACGCCATTTGGCCTAGGCCGGGCATCAAATGGTTAAAGAGTAGCTTCGGTCAGGTTTCCAAACATAGTCAGCAGCTACAAAAACTGTAGCTGCTGAATTTTATTAAAGGGTAACTCCAGTTTCGTGGGAAAAAAAATTAGCAAATTAAAAAAAAAATGGCGTATTCAATTGCAACTCAAGTCATATGTTATTAAAATTGACCTTTCCTTTTCAATCTGCAGTGCTGTAATTTTCTGTAAATGTAATGTAGTATGGTTACCTGGAGGTGTTCTGTACATAGATGATGTACAAAACACCCCGTAAATATGTCATTTCCTGCTTGAGTGGTTGGCTTACTGAATTTCCCAGAAGTCTGCACTAAGTTACGAGTCAGATTTTTGCATCCCCTGCAACAAAAATGCCATTTTTGGCAAGATGCTTCCAAAGGGAAATCGCGTTGAAAGGGACTTTCCTCGTTAGAGTCCTGCAGGTACAGCAGCTGATTGATAATTATAAAACCACTTCCATGTAAATTCACTCTACACATGGACACAGACAATAACAAAAGGTAGGAATCTGTAACAAAGTGTTAAAATCCTTACAATATACAGAGATCACCCAGAAGGGAATGTTTTTTTGTTTGATATTTCTCAACAAAAGTGGAGTTACTTAGTGGAGTTAGACACCTGTTCCAGTGCTGTCTGTACCCGGGCTGGTTGATCACCAGTCTTTGGGTCCTTGGCGCCTCCATGCTAACTGTGGGAAGTTGGCTGTGACTCTTTGCAGCTTCACGGCCAGCTCCCCACTGTGCATGCACGGGCCACGCTATCTGAATGGTCCTGGGACCTGTGACAAGTCCCAAGAGGTTATGGGCATGGAAGGCAACTTCTGCTCTGATTGCCTAGGTATTCGCAGTGGAAGCGGTGGCTGCATACGGTACATTTTATTTATTTTTTTTTTTTACTTTTATTTTTCCCATGGTGATCCAGCCAGTAAGTCTGTTATTTTTTTTCAACTTCGTTTAACAGAGCAAGCTGTCCAGTGAAATTGGCAGTTAGAACAAAAATCCATTTAAACCAATCATGAGTGCTTACAATGGTCAGCTTATATTTAGTTATATAAACACTTTGTCCCAAAATGATATAAAGCCGATTTCTGTAACTGCTTCAAAAATGTTAGCTGGAGTTCAGCTTTAATCTGTTAGTTAGGTCCATCTAAATCTGCTAGTGTATCAACACTACCCTCTCCGTTCAAAGGTGAGTCCCCTGCTTCTCCTTCCAGAGTAGAGAGACACCCTAAGACAGGAAGTGCATTAGGCAGATCACAAGGTGAAAGTAAAGGGAGAAAAAAAAAACTTAAAGAAAGCTACCACATTTAAGAAGCTGCAATATATTACATTTTTTTTTTGGCTTTAATACTGCTTTAAGCTCTGATGAAGGGGGGGGGGGGGGGGGTGGCCTTTGAAACACACTAGGTATTTTATGTGATCTTACTAATATTTATTAAAATGATTTTGACTGTTTAAAGCTGCACTTTACACATAACAATTACAAGAACAACATTTCACATTAATACTGCTACCAAAATGAGTGTTTGCGTTTGAGTAAATTGCCTCCAGCATTGTTCCTGTTTCTTGTTGGAGGCTGCAATTTTGCTGAAGCCCAGAGCCCCTGAGCAGCAGTGAATCTTTAGACTGTCAGCAGGTAGGCCTCCAGTGCTCTTCCTTTAGGCACAGTACTGGAAAATAGAGAGCAACTGAGCATGTGCAGAGCAATGTAAGTAAACAGTACTTATTTTTAATGTTTTACATGGCTATACCTGCAAGGGGCTAGTCTGAAGTGATCTAGCAGGACTTAATTTTCTGACTAAAGTTTCACTTGACAGAATAATTCAAGGCATTGGTATAGTATACATGGTACATTGGTCCAACTTGGACCAATGTAACTATGTATATACTGTGTATGGCTGATGCTGCTTCGTCAGTGATCTCCATTTGCTTTGGTGTCCCCTGTCAAGCGGCTGCTCTACCACAATGTGAACAAAGGAGGCTGGCCGCTTGGCACAGAGAATGTGTTGCTTTTTATGAATAAATGCAAACTGTTCTCTGATTGGAAGAGGTGGGAAGGCCTGGCTGTGATGTCATTCTTTCAACCTCATGCAATCAGAGAGCACCTTGTTTTCACAAAGCATCAAGCCAACTGCTCAGCACTGGACCTTGAAGAAAGTAGAGATCACTGGAGTAGCAATATCTGCATCAGTGATTTCCAGGGGAATCTGCCAAGTATGCCATACACATACAGTAATTACATTTGTCAAAGCTGGACCAAAATAGCTATGTATAATGCCTGGAATTATTCTTTGACCATTTGATCCTGCGCTCCTCTTGTTTGTCAATGCTTTGTGTTGCCTTATTCTGTGGGAGCTGCCTCACCAGAGCCAGTAAGCATGCCATATAAAATATGTTTACTGCTCTGGACAAAGACGTGTTTAAATCCTTTTGAAACATATAACTGACTGGGATGTAAGTGGGGTGCGGGTAATTAGACAGCATAATAGTTGTGGCGCATGGGGAGCATGGATCAGTGTGACAACCTCTTTGCAGGTTTCTTTGACCAGTAAAGGCAGTTGGA